ACTAAGATTTCTTCGTTTGCCTAATCAGAACATTAAATCATTAGGAATACGATATTGAAACAAAGTGAAAGATGATAAGTTATTATTTATTCCTACTTGTTTTTTAACATAACAATTGAATTCATTGAAGCACGCACTCATTTGAATAACCAATTAAAGGAGAAAGCTTGCTAGTTTGCGGTGATTAATTGATAGTTCGTGACGTCATAAATTTCACTAAAACATCCTCATTTGGTCGGTTGGTGACGTTTTTAATGTGAGGAACTCGCAAATTCAACGGATAGCTTGAACGAGCGGTAAGAAATTATAAAAATTGCGCAGTTTCGTTTGTTGAATATTAACGGAGTTGATTGTTTAAAAGGAGGTTGAGATAAAAGTCGAACAAGCATTATTTTCGAAATGTAATAAAAGAATTCAAATTTACATTTTATTATTGCGGGTGACTGAAATGAAATGATTTTTCAAGCGCGAGAAAAAGAAATGAAGTACGTTCACACTGACAGAATACCTTTATTTGTTATTCATTACCTTACTGTGCTTGCTCACTTGCAGGCATTTTAAAGTAACACTGTAAGAGAACTGTCTGTCTGCAACGACGTACAATGCATATTCTTTTATATGCGGATTTTTTTTTATTGCCCGTCAGATGAAAACAGATGTGTTTTTTTATTTTTAACCTTGTTTATTTGAGGATTTAAAAACAATTGGCTATTTGAAGACATATGCGGCCCTTCAAAGGTCAAATAGTTCTCAATGCTGCCCTTCAAAGGTCAAATAGTTCTCAATACGGCCCTTCAAAGGTTAAAAGTCCTCAACCATCCGTCTGATTCGATTTCGTTTAGATTTTATTTTTATGTGTCTTTTTGATTTATATATAATTTCTTAAATTTTTAAATCAGGTAGGGTAGCATTACTTCATCATTTGTGGCTACTTTGACACTGGCATGCTTCTTAAATTTATTTGTGTAATTCGCCGACCAAATGAGATTTCACGATGTTCTTCACATAGTCACTTGCCTGTCATTCAATGAAAAGAGAAGATTTATTAAATGGTACTGTTGTGTAAACAGTTGATTGGCAATCCATTTATAATATTTTTTTAATTGTATTTAATCAATTCTAATACGTCTGTCCTTATAATTTGATATTTTTAATAAAATGCTATCAGACAGTCGGATGACAGATTTAGACTCACATTATTAAAGTAAATGACAACCTGTAGTAGTTTCAATTAATTAAATTTATTAACGTCTGAGTAAAGGTAGTCTTCAACTACCATACATGAGTATTATGAAATACTAACTTTTTAAACTGTAAATATCAAGCAAACAAAACTTATTTCAGAACTTTTTCCTCTGTTTGAATACAAAAACTTTTGGCATAATCGTTGTTAATGAGGCATGTGTGTGCATCTCACATCTGCAATCGATGAATTGTACGATTATTCTTATTTTTATCCAAAAATCTTTTATTAAAATCTTACTCTTCCAGGGTTCTCTAACAAAGAACCTCAAATGGCGTCTCAGCAAATTTTCTTTTACATCACCATCTTTTGATCCAAAAGCTTAGGTTAATTAATGTTCTTTCTTCTTTCTCACAGAGTCACTTGTGGGATCCTGTTGGATCTTATTCAAGCTTGATGGTTAGAAACAAATCTCATTCAACTAAATCAAAGTTATCTAAATTTATATTTATAATATGACCAAAAATCACATAAAAATTAATAATTAGGGTAGAATGAAACATGAAACGTTAAATCACTCAAAATTAATGTTTCAATTTTTCACTTTGATTTAAATAAAAATGTGATTTTCATATTTTTTTAGCATTTAAACAGTTTTATATTTTATTGATTTATTCTTTTTCTTTTATTTAATAAAATATTCTGAGTTTGTTTCGACTAATCGCTTGGATTTTTTGTATAAGAATTGAAATATAGTATATGAAATAAACATTGGCTGGGAAGCATGGTATCACTGCATTACCATTAATCCAAAGTCAATATTTATTTGCCATTTGATGATTCTTACTGTAAATTATAACAATAGTGAAACGTTAATGCTGTACTGGCTTCCAAACAACTTAAATTGGAAAAAATACGATTGGGCAATCTCAGGATAATAATTCTATGCGAAGCACAGAACTTCATTAGGACCAAGAACTACTACTTGAATTTATGGACAAAAATAATAATTTTTGAAAACAATTTCGTGCAAAAGTTGCTTTTTTAACACAAATAAAACATTTAATAAAGATTAATCAAACTGAATGATCAAGGTGACATTGCTATCAATATTATAAGACTCTGGCGAATGAAGTGTCGAAACTCGAAATGTTTGCTCTATAATTTGTTATTCAAAGCATCGTTTGTTATCTTCTGGTTTTATTTTAACGATTAAATCGATGAGAATATTCATTTTAGCAAACATAGATCGCTGCATATATCAAACAAATTATGCATGAAACATTAAATCCGTCTGAAATCGGACTGAGCGGTTGAAAATTATTCTTTTTATAACCACCTAAATATATTAAACAACACTATTTTTTAAATTGATGAATTTAATAATTTAAATTGTTGACGCAAAATTGTAGCCAAGTGAAAATGTTTGAGCGGCAAATTCCGTTAAAGTATTTTTTGATAATTTTTACTAAGCTTTGTTTTTAACTCTTCCTTTAAAAATCTTGTAAAATGTTTTACATTGCTAATTTCGTGACAATCTCCGATATTCACTGGTGACATTCCACAGAATAATGAATTTTTCTGAATAACCCAAATTAGGTGAAGCATTCCACAAAAAATGAACCAAATTTATTTTCGTTTATTTTCTTCCCACACTGACCCTTCCAGCTTCCAAAAAAATTTCAAGTTTCATGGCTTCCCCACATCAAATCTAAACACATCTGCCCACCACAAACACCAACGACACTGTGTTGGTTTAATGTTCAGTTAAATGAATCCACTGAATAGAACTAATGCTTAAAAACACTTTCTCTCGTTTAGTGTCAGACTTATTCTTAGGAAAGGTGCCATAACTATTTGAAACATCTTTATACTGGTAAATTTTGCAACTTTCTGCAATTTTTTGCACGCACGGAAATTGTTCCAATGATATAAACAAAAGATTGAGTGAAAGATGTATAAAATTTGAACAGCATTTCACGACGTTGAAATGTTAGAAAATAATATCAATTCAAATAAGACTCAAGAAGCGTGTTAATTTTTAAAAACTGATCGATCCAACATCTCGATAAGAATTAAGGAGAGGATGTTTTTTTTACAATCAAGTCATATTGGAACCATTTTATTATTATGACATAACGGCAAGATAGTAACAACAAATTATAAATTTGATGTAACAAATTATAAGAACACACACACGCACAAATCACAAAGCTCTAACATACATTGACACAAAATTTCGAGACTTCCACCATCCAACAACACACAACAACAACAACAACATATTTCCGAATAAAGAACACGCACAACGACACAAGCAGCTGACAAGAACGACACAACTACAAACAACTACACTGCCAGCTTCTACACAACAACACAAGCTACATGCACAGACGCACATAATGCACAATTATAATATTTCTAAACATCTGTATGTTATATACTCATGTACATAGAAGTACATATATCTATATCTATACATGAGAAAGTGAGTATTAATACATATATGTATGTATATATTTGTGTATATATATTAATATATTAAAGGTACAAACATTAGATAGATATATAATATATATATAAATAAATAAATAAATATATATATATATATATAAATAGTGTGTTTGTGTATGTTAGTTTTCATATTCCTATATTTTCCCATATATGAGTTTGTGTAGTGTGTTTATGGACATTCGGTGTATATTTACACCTTCAGAAATTAATTTCAAAATACCTATATGCACGCAAGTCCAAAATACGTAACCGGTTAGGCAATAACCACAAAAATTACATAACCACTTAAATTTTGAATCTTTAAATTCAATCAATGTTAGTAAAGCCATTTTAAGAATAATCGGATGCAGAGGGCTGTCGAGACATCGGTGTTAGATTCGACAGAAACAGTATAGTTGTATAACAACAATTGCAACATCAACATCAACGCATTTATTATTCACAAACAACACTCAACAACCAACGACACAGATGTATTGGATTGGACCTACACTACATAACGTAGCAAAATGTGTGTGTCATCATTCGTTTCCATCGCCCATCTTTTATCATTGGCTTTCGATTCTTGCTTCGCAAATCGTTCTTCAGGAATTTTCTCTTTACTTTTCAGCGCTAATTTTTGCTTGTTGTTTTTGAATTTAGTGCTCATCGACAAGTTTGATTATATCGCGATGGCAGAACTTCGCAATACAATCTGGATAGCACAAATTCAGCATTGAGTTAGTGACAGAGAGATAGAGAGAGAAATAGAAGGAGGGGGAGAAAAACAGAAAAGGGAGAGTATATTTTTGATATTCCGTAACAAATATATAGGTACACATTGCAATCTCCAAGACACACACACGCAGCAAACACACACACACACCCGCACACACACTGGCACAAGATGCGTACGTGCATAATTATGAACATGCACGCACGCCACACTCAGCACAGCAGTAAGCACGCGCACACACGCACATGAAAGCCAGCACTAACATACAACAGCACATCAACCAATGATATTTGTATATTTGTAATGTGCGTGGCTTTGTGTGTGCGTGCCTGTGTGTGTGTGTAGCATAAACAGCAGCACAATGCTACAACGTTGCTTCCTTCTATACATTAAACATTGAACTATAGTACTGAATATAATATATACGCATGTATATATTGGTTTATCTGTATACATACATTGTATATACATTAGTATATGTGTATAGTAAGTGAAAATGGTATATATCAGTGATTTTATATACCAGAACATGCCATGTATACATGTATATAGTCTTCTTTACATACATATTCATGCCTATGTAATGTACGCTTGTGTGTTGCGATCTTTGTTTTTCTCCTTCACGATAAATTCGGTTATTATTTGTTCATCTTATTGACATTTTGTACATACTATTTTTGTTTATTAACAATGAATTAATATTAATTTAGAAGAATTAAATGATTTAGAGCGATTTTTTTACAACATTTAATCGAAATTTTATGTCGAAAGTTTAGCGCGCAAATCCTAACAACATTAATATTAATTGTCTATGTTCTGGCTTTGTTTTGCATTTATACATTTATTACAAATAAAGGAATCGCCGTGCAATCGTCGATTATTTTTTTTGTACTGAGACTGGAGTTCTTCACTAATTAGTGAAAAGTTTAATTTTTTATTCTCCCGTTCGTGCCCCATGTGGGTTTTGATCTACTTTTGATTGAGAAGTTTCAATGAAACGGTTAGGAATCACCAGCATTTTTATTTAAAACTAAAATTAAAATTTACATTATATAGAATTTGTTAATAATTATAATTTGGATTTAATTTTTAATTAATTTTTTATAAAATAAATTATTAAATAGGTTAAAAAAAGTTATTCTATATTTAATTTATAATTTATTTTAAATAAAATAAATTATTAATTAAATTAAAATGTAAGTAAATGCAAATTAAAGTTTTTATCTAGAATTATATAATTAATAAATACATTTTTGTATTCAAAGTTATATATGAATTTATTTTATAATCAATTTTTCTATTAATATTATCAATAGAAATTGATGCTGATCAACAATTTGTACTTGTATCTTCCATTTGGTTTGGGGAGACATCTTTTTATATTTCTGCTTTATCTGCTTTTTTTAAACATTTTTTAACTACCAATAAATAATTGACAGTCAAATATTATTTGAATGCAAACAGATTTAAAAACTAAGGTAAGTAATTGAATAAGGCGAATAAGCTAAGTGAGGTTGTATTTCAGTCTTTAAATTAAAACCTTAAAATATATTTTTTCACTACTATATAAATGTGCTAGATTTCAGTTATTTTAATAAATATAATTTGCATTTATTTAAAAATAAATAAAATAATTTTTTTTAATTCAAGTGAGTCCTTGGAAGCAAGAGAAATGAGATTGCGTAAACACAGAGAAAGAACAGCTCAGAAACGTGCATCAGAATCAAAAGAAGAACGTGATGAACGTTTGAGGAAGCATAGAGAACGAACTGCCTTGAGAAGAATGCAGGAAACCATGGAGGAGAGAGCCGTCCGCCTACAGAAGCATCGTGAACGAACTGCCCAGAGAAGAGCCATGGAAACCCTTGACCAAAGACAAAGAAGGTTGGAAAAGCAAAAAGAACGAGCCGTTCAACGAAAAATGATGGAATCGCCAGAAGAACGTGAAGTTCGACTACAAATTCACCGAGAGAGAACTGCATTGAGGAGAGCCCAAGAAACTCCTGAACAGAGGGAAAGACGTCTTCAAAGACAAAAGGAAAAAGCAGTTCTAAACAAGCTGGAAGAAAGTAAGGAACAGCGAGAAATACGGTTACAAAAGCATAGAGAACGCACAGCAATGAGAAGAGCAATGGAACCCAAGTCACCTAATCGAAGGCCCAGAAAAAAGAGGGAACCTAAAACAGAACCAGAGGAGTTGACGGGATCTGATTCTAACCTTCATCCACCTCAAATTCCTTCCCAACAACCACCGCCACCACCACTATCTCAGCAGCAACAACAACAACAATCTCAACAACAGCAGCAGCAGCAGCAGCAACAACAGCAGCAACAACAACAACAGCAGCAACAACAACAGCAGCAGCAACAACAACAACAACAGCAGCAGCAACAACAACAGCAGCAGCAACAACAACAACAGCAACAACAACATATTCAGGCTCAACACCAACATTTGCTGCAGCAACAGTTGTTACATCAGCAACAACAGCAGCAACAACAACAACAATCTAACCAACAAACTCATATGCAACAAGCAGTTTTGCAGCAAGCTCAACAGCCCCAACACTCCCAGCACAACCAACTTCATCAACAGCAGCAACAACAACAGACTATTGCCCAGCAACCGGCCCACCAGCAACAGCAGCAACAACCACATCAGCCTCTACCATTGAAACAGGAAATGCTTCCAATTGAGCTAACCATCAACAGTCCTCTGCAGTTTGTCACCCAGCAACAACATGCTGCCCTGGCTCTTGGAGGCATCAAGGAACCGTTGCTCTTGAGTGGACAGTTAGTGAAGGGTGAACCGGGCAACTTGTTGGACCCACACCAACTCAACCTACAGTCACAACTCGACTACAGCATGAACAGCATGATGGCTTACAGAAGAGCTTACTTGAATGGCAACATCCCCGATACTTGCCACATGGGTCCCTTCACTTACAACTGCTAGGAGGAGGGGGTTCCTCCCTGCTGAATGAACTCTTCTATCTAATTATGATTACCTTTCTATTGCGTTTGCGTTACGTTACGGGTTCAAATACTATGTACGGGTTCAAATACTATGTTTCAATAAAATTTTATATTGAAAAGAGATTTTGCTGTTGTCTACTTTGTTCGAATGTAGGTTGTTTGGTGCTAGATGATTCGTCTCTCTCTGCTGTTGTGTATTTTATAGCAGCTGCATGTTTGATACCTCTTATGAAATTGATGGCTGATTTGATTTCTCTCTTTTGCTCTGGTACCTGTTCGATGATAGAAACAGAGTTGATGATTGTACATGTCCAGTGGCAGTCATGATGACACAATTCTAGAGGCTAATCTGAGTGATTGAGTTTCTCGAGAGAAATTACTTTTACATTATTAAATGTAACACATGTACGTGCGTGTATGTATGATCATTTCCTTTCTCAAAATTTTAATTCACTTCATATAATTTTCATCCTTGCACATCCTTTGATATTATATTCATTGTTGTTCATCATCATTAGTTTATCAGGATTGATCATAATTTTGAAAAATTATTTTTATAATATTTTAGAATAGGCTTATTTGTGCTAATTTCTGTTGAAATATTCCGATGTTATGTTCAATCATAATTATATACTTACTGGTGAGTCTGGTTGCAATGTAATGGCGTGTATTTTTCGTTCGTGTGCTGAATTTTAAATGTTGCCAAATATTTTCCATTGTTTTGAACTGAAAGAATCCGAGCGTGTCTGATTTGCTTGCTCTCTGTTGAAAAAAAATTCTCCAATTCCTTTATAAGTGTTTGTATATCAGTTTGTCTTCTTGTACATTTCAGTATCGTCGTTTTTTAGGTTTAAACAAAACATCTAATAATTTTTATCGTTCTTACGCCATTCAAGTTACAGAGTTTGTACACTATCAAATAATAAGTACAATGAAGAATTACTAATTGCTTTTATAATTTTTCATTGTCACGTATGTGTATGTGTATACATTTATGTGCACATGTCTGTGTGTGTGTGTGTGTGTGTGCGTGTGTGTAATGTTGATTAAAATCTTCTGTTTCTTCCATGTTTTTTTACAATACTCAATATAAAAAAAAATATATTTTTGTGATATCGAAACTTAATAAATATGTTAATGTTCAGAGATTGTATAAGATGAATAAATGGGCAAATGAAATGAACGAATGAATGAATGAATGATTTAATTAATTAATTAATTAATTAATTAATTAAATGAATAACAAATGAATTAATGCGTTGGTTTGTGTTTATTATCAAGAAACTAATTCAATAAAAAAAAATTTGCTTTTCTCTCAGCTACCATTTGGTTTACTGTTCCTAATTATGCGTTATCAGAAATAAGATTTAGTGATTATTTTTTTTTAAATTAATGTTATTCTCAATTAAATTTAATTTTTAATTTATGTTTATTTAAATAGAAGTTTGTCTTAGTTTAGAAGACGATGATTGCACACATTCGCAAAACACCATAGTTTTGTTGATCTTAAGGGATTTATTTTCTCAAATTCTAAAGTATGTTGAACTTTGCTACTGTATAAAATATCAGTTTTCTTTTTCATCAAATTTTCATTGGAGCTGATTATCTTCATAAATGTTATTTATTTAATTTTTTTTTAATATTATTAAATTTGTATAACTTTATTTATTTAATTATGTATTTTTTTATTTATCTATTTATTCACTTTATTTTATTACAAATTGAAATTAAAATATTGATTTCATATTTCTATTATTGTTGGTTTCCGATTGGTTGGTGGTGTGGTCTTTTGTTTGAATGAATAAATGAATGAATGAATAAGTGGATGAATAAATGAACGAGTGAGTGAGTGGGTGAGTGAGTGAGTGAGAGTAAGTGATAGATAAATAAGATATTAAAATATGATGGTAATATGATATATGATTATACATATATCTATCACATTTATTATATTCTTGTATCAGCACAAAAATGATATTTGTAAAGTTATATCAATCAATCAATCAATCAATCAATAGTTACCAATATGAAATATGCATAGACAGTTGCAAAGTAATAATTATAATAATAATACACTGAGACTTAAATAAATTATTCTCTTTCGTGTATTTTAGATTTGTTGATCACTTATTAATTAATAAACACTTTTATGTAATGCTTTTTTGCAATTCTGAATTTTTTTTTTCTATGTGTTGATAATAATAATAATAATTATTATTATTATTATGAGTATTTTATTATTATTTTATGAGTTAATAATTTTTTTTCTCAAATGATTGACAGTTGGGTTATTATTATTATTATTATTATTATTATAATTTTTGTTTATTTCTCGAAGTAAATGTCAACATATATTTATTCGATTATAGAGTCAATCCCATATTTCAGCTCTTCTTTGATGATGTCAGTTTCACTTTTTTATTAATTAAAGAAGGGAGTGAATGTTGAATAGAGTGATTGATGAAATGAAAGATCAAACCAGTGGATGAAAAATGATTGACTGAACGAGCTATCAGATGAATGAAAGCATGACTTCGCAATGGAAAACTAAATCTTACTCAGGAATTATCAATTTGCCATCATAATCGCCATCATCTTGTTTAATATTTTTATTAATTTTTTATCACTCCAATCATCATCAGCATCATCATTTTGGTGATGATGAATATATATATATATATATATATATATATATGGTGGTATGTATGTATATATATATATATATATATATATATATATATATATATATAAGCTGATGATAACAAATTACCCTTAACTCTCACTGTTATAATTTCATCGTCATACCATTATCATGATTGGTTGTGTGTGTGTGTGTGTGTGTGTGTGCGTGCGTGTGTGTGTGCGTGTGTGTGTGATGTTTTCATTTCTTTTCATGACGCTGCGTTCGTTTGTAATTGACATTCAAACATTCAATATTGTTTCCATACTTCTTTTTATTACCATTGGAAACCATTCTATATGTTTTACTTCCATACTATATATGTATTTATATATGTATTTATATATGTATATATATATACATGTAATATATATATATATATATATAAATTGTTTTTTAATGATTTTTTTTATATAAAGTAGACGTTGAAAAAAGATTCTTTAATTATTTATTCCGTCACTAAAAGTTAATTTAATAAGCATAGTTTAATCGAGGCGTTCGTTTTAGTGAAATGTTATCAATCAACAATATTAAATAAATAAATGAATATGTTATAATAATTATATAGGTTTCTAAACGAAAATTTATTCGAATCGGTAGATGAATAGATAGAAGCTTGTCTTTATTGATGATACCAAGAAATATGGGATAGATTGTACGTCGATGATGTTGAATAGCTGACAGTACAGTAATGTTACTTAAAATGTTATCGCATTTATATAATACTATTTAACCCTACAGCATGATATTTTCATATAGATATTTTTATATATGTACATGGGAGATTGAGATAAGTCACAGTTGGATATCAAATATACAACCACAAAGTACCCTCAACGAGACGTTATTATCGCCAATCGCAACTCAGGCAACAATGATTTTCGTTTTATCTGCTCGATGCATTCATGCATGGAAAGGAAATGTGTGGAAGAAAATGTGTATTTTTATTTTATCTCTCACACCATTCGCCAATTCTTCCAATGGAGTCATCAACAGTCGGTGGCGCAGGCCCTTCTCTGCACGTCCACAACTTCGTTGCAGCCCTTTCTTCTCAGGGCCTCCCTACGCACTGTCCTTGACCTCTCCTGCACCCCAACGAGGCCGCAGTTCCGTTGCGAACATCTCGTCCAGTCCGACCACTCTGTTAAAGGGCAGCCTGCATGGTTGTGGTTGAATTAGGATATGTTGATAGATGCTGCCGATTTTAATTATAATTTATTTTAACTGAATTAATTGAATTTTAAATTTATAGCTACCAAATGTTTTATGTGTGTTTTTACCATATACATTTGAGATCAGAAACGATCGCGAGTTTATTCGAACTCAAGTTAAGAAATATAAGATAAATAGGACAATGTGATAAGACAGTTTGATATTAACATTTGGGTAGGTTCCGACATTTTTCCTTTTGAAAGGTCGGTAGGTGGCACTTGTGCGTGGTAGCCCGCTCGTGTCGTCTGACGAGGTTGCTGTTTTTGATTTGATTGTGTTTATCTGTATCATTATGTACACTGGCGTTATTGTTGTTGGCCTTTTTGTCTGGGATACTGTTGCGACTGCTTTTCATTTTCTTATTAACTTTATTTACATTTTTTACGTCTTCATCGTTGTATCTCTCGTTATAACTCTCGCCGTCGTCATTATTCTTTGGAGCATCCAAAATGGACCTGGTCCTCGTTCGAAAGCCACGTGACCCACAGGAAGCAGAACAGCTGGACCAAGCTGACCATTGACTCATCTTGCATTGATCACGTGATTCGTCGTCGTCATCATCATCGTAGTCGTCATCATCATCCTCATCATTGTCGTGGGTGTAATGATGACGTCGTTTGTATGTACGTCTCATGTGTCCGTCACTTCTTCCTGCGTTGTTCACGTTTGAAGATATGTTCAACGTTGTTATCATTATCACGGTCAACCAATCAATATCGATACTCATGTTGTAGCAATTTCGTTTTCAAACAAAGTAAATTGACATTTTAAATATTTAAATAACTGGAACAAATTTATTAACGGCTAACAACACTATGAATTTAACTGTGTTACATTTCAAAAATAATTTAACAGTTTAGCTGGTTTTTCTAAAAAGAGAAATAGATATAAAACAATGAACGAAAAAATTACTTCTGACAGTAATTGTCAAGTAACTATTTCATATATTTAAAAACTCGCCATTTTTTCGATATAATGAATTTCAAGACAGGTACGCAGACGAACTTTTAGTAGAATTGAAGTGGAGACACTCTTGCAGGCAGGCTGTCCTAGAATGGAACCTGTTCCTTCGGCCGGCACAACCCCCGTACTGAAATTCCACGCAGTCGCTCACTGCCAAGTCGAATGCGTACTGCGAGCTGAATGAAAGGCAGGGTCCAGCGTAGTAGGCTTCTTTGCAGTGCTCTGGTCGGGCAGTTAAAAGATTTTTCCGGATAATTTTAATCCAACATACAAGTTACATTTTTAAAGTTCTTGGACGGATTTTTAAACGATTTTAAAATTTTTGTAATTGTTAAACGTAAATCATAACGGAAATATTGAAATATACAATTTATAGAATCATTATTAAGTGTGATGGTTTCAATTGGTCTAACCAGGCAACTTATCTAGAAACTCGAGACAATCGTGGATCCGATCATCATGACAGAACTGGTAGTTTGTAGTTTCAACGTAGACGTGGTTGCATGTTTGCTCGCGTCCATCAGAATTGTTACCAACATTCGAGTTTCTAACATCAGTTTTATCTTCTACTTCAGAGTCGAAATTATCTTTATTTCCTATTTGATGATTGTTTTCTTCATTTTTGTTTGTTGATGGATCAAGGTAAGGTTTCTTATCATTATTTTTGTTGTTCTTATGAATTATTGACCTGTATCTACTTTTTATCGGCCAGTTTGTGTTTTCATTAGCATTGTAGATATTGTTGTTGTTCACCTGGAACAAGTTGGCGATATTTCTGTTGTCGTTGCTGCTCTTGTTGATGTTGTTGTGGTAGTTGCTGTTGTAGTTGTTGATGATGTGTTGTTTGATGAGTTGGATGTGTTTGCTGTTGATGTAGGTTGCACAGGAACAACTACTCCAAGTGCTCCACATTGTCACTTGACATTCACTCACCTCATCTACTTCTTTCAAAACGTTCATTTGTGATTTATTTTTTTTATTCACATTAATCTACATGTATATATTTATTAATAGTTTTTACGTGTAAAATAACTTAAAAATATAAATTAGTAATTTTTTATTGAATTTAAAAAAAATTTTTCATTTTAGTGGATTAAATTAAATTTGTTTGTGTTTCGCACTTTTTTCTGAAAAACTTATTATCACTGAAAACGTTGTTAACATTTTCTTTATTGCGATGAATCGAATTAAAACTCTATTGAAGAGGAGAGATTGAGTTATGTCCTTAGTACTGTGCCGGATGAATGGGTGCCGATCGTACGAATGTTATTGCGATTGAAGTGTTGCTTATGAAGTACGCGTGCGTGCGTGTGCGTGCGTGTGTGTGCATACGTGTGTGTGTGTGTGTGTGTGTGCGAGTGTGTGTGGCAGTGTGTGAGTGTGGGTTTGTGTGAATGTGTAAGTGTGGATTTGTGTGAGTTTGTCTGATCTGTCTTTCTTCCCAACACGATTTAGTTTTTGAGGATTGGAAAGGGTTTATACATAATTTAATATCTGAAATATTCAGTAGCAGGTGGAGATCAGGGTTTTGGAAATAACTTTTATTTGTTATGAATGAATGAATGACTTAATTTATACAAATACAAATATATCTTATTCTTGCTACAACAAATTCTTACTAGTTGCTATCTCTTCATCTGCAGTTTCGTCAGTTAGCACATTATAGCACACGCTGCTGTTGTTGTTGTTGACGTTTGAAATGTTGTTGTTGGTGTTGCTGTTGTTGTTAATGTTGTTGATGTTGTTATTGTTGATGCTGGTTGCGTTGTTGGAAGTATTTCCAACTGAGGTTTTATCCCGTTGTTGAATTCTTTTAATTTTGAGAAGAGCAACAGGGTTTGGAATAGAGACCTTTGTTGCCGTGTAACTCATCCTGTCCTTTTTCCTGAACAAGTTGTCGGCGAAATTGTTGTTGTTCTTGTTGTTGGAACCTCTGCTAACATCCTGCGGTTATGCGTTACTCGTTAGAAGTTTTCGTCAGAGTTAATTAAATTTAACGAAGCAAGGATTTTATTATAATGTTGTTGTCGTAGGTTTTCAACTAGCCAGTATGTTTTAAAAAGTTTCCAAATTGTTTTTTTCAATATTGGTTGAAATAAGAAAAAATTGAAATTCAGTCAAATAATAGTTCCAAGTACTTCTTTTAATGATAAATTTCTCTCCAGCTTTAGGAAAACTTTTAACAATTTGAAATTTAAACACTTTTGTATTGATTGAAATTGCAAAATAAAATGAATTACACATCTAATAACTGAGGAGACTCCTAAAGAAATTGCAAATCTAATGTTTTACCTCCTCATCAAGACCAGCGTCCCAAGGAAAAAGATCCAAACTGATGCTTTCAACCCAGGAGCAGTTTGGAAGGCATAAGTCCAACATGGAAACTCCTGCGTGGAATGTATGGTGGGGTGATTTGTATGCTACCGATGGTTATTGGGGGGTTGATTGGTTGTAGTTGGTTCATTACAAATGAGTGACTGCGTTTAGTTAGATGCTGTTGAAAGTTTGATTGTCGCAGATTCTCGTGAATGTTGATTTGATTGGTAACATAAACTCGCTGTTAGGTGGTACGCTTTTTAGTTTCAGTTTCACTTTTTAGTTTTTTTTGTACTTATTTTTCAACTAACTTTGATAATCAAACTAAAATTGTTCTATCGCATATGGAAAACAAAACAAAAAACAAAACGAAAATGAGAAAAATCTTCCGGCTGCAACCTACCAGCACACCAGTCCCCCAGCGTCGACATCTTGGTGGCAAAAGAAAGAAGATGGTGAGTCCGGTTGACGCTGAAGTGGGACCATCTGCTCTGCTGCATGGCTGCTTGATGGTGGTGGCGGTGGTCGTCATTTTAAAGTATTAAGCAATATTTAATTTGATTGTTCGTCTTTCGTTTGTGTTTGTATGATAGAAAATGTTAACATATAACAACATATAACTTTATTGGGTATTAATAATCATACATTTGATCGAAACAACCAACCATCCAGCCGATTGACCGACCAACCAATTAACCAATCAATTAACTAACCAAAATCAACAAACTAGCCAACTAACCAACCAACCAACCAACCAACCAACCAACCAACCGACCAACCAAATTCTTCATTCCAATCAATGCCGGCAGTTTTAACAATGGTCCTAATATCTTTCACCTGATTCAAATTTGAAAGGGTGCATGTAAGTTTTAAATTAAAATTTCAATTGTTAGGAGGCCTCTTTATTTTCCAAACAATACCGTTTATATTCGCATTAATGGATGCATTTGTATTTTAGTATTCTTCGTTTTGGCCACTGTTATCTGTTATTTTGCTTTGTGACCACAGTCTAAAGAAAGCTCTGCACCAGCATTGCATACCACACTTTCCTTTTTTCACTACCCCATGACAATGGGTCATGAATGGTTCAAAAAATTGTGAGATCTTTTAGAGATTTTGAGGAAACACGGCGCGCTGACCTGGTTCAATTGATCAAATTTCAATGATCGCAAAATATGTGCAAATTTTTTTTTACATACAAGTAGTGTGGTACATTTTGCAATAGTATTATAAAGAATGCAACTAAAGAAAGGAATTTGTAATAGAATCTATTTTCACTAAAGATTTATAGTTATCGACTTCGTATTAAGTACTGCGTAATATGCTACTGCTGCAATTTAGGTGCAACTTTTGTAGGACTGTTTCTATATTTTGTATTTCTCACGAGCTAGAGAAGGACTAAACAGTTGTAAAACTTCATATAAAAATTGAAATCATTAACAGAGTCTGTTTCAAGTTTCAATGTTAGGTTAGCTCATCGGCAATGTTTAGCAAAGCTGAACATTCGAATTCAGATGCGAACGATGTGATTGATGGTTATTGACGTTATATTTTTTGAATAATTTTGCAAAAACTTATCTAATTCTAACTAGACATTTTCAGTTGAAGAACTACAAAGTGAATGAAGAGGTAAACTAATAAGTAAATGAATTAAGTAATTAGCAGATGAATGAATGAATGAATGAATAAATGAATGAGTGAATGAATGAATGAATGAATGAATGAACGAATGAATAAACGAACGAATGAATGATTGAATGAATAAACGAACGAATGAATGAAAAATGAAGATTTTTCTAAACAATGGTCTCTTGGGGCCGTACGTACAGGTAGAAATTTTAATTAACGAAAAATATTTTAATAGACGCTTGCGAAATATGAAGAGAAGAGAAGCCTTACTCTTACAACGATCATCCATTTTATCTTCATCATGGTCACAGTTGGTAATTAGGAAAATTTTTTTCAAAATTTTTCGTATCGAATAATATATTATGAAATGAATTCATTTTTGGCGCCAATTTTAACTAATGGATGGCAACTCTCATTGTCGCATGCCTAATTAAATATTCGCGTCCACCCACATGCATCACGGAATGTTTCTGTCTGCATGCATTAATTCATCACTCATTTTTATTATGCATTCCCACATTCATGTCATAAACGCTCGTCAATACCGTTTTACAACATATTGTTCAATTTTTAATAAACGAAACCGAAAGTCATTTTATTGGTGTTGTAAATAAATAGATCGAAAATAGTTTTATTTCAATTTACAAGGACTGTCTTGAAGCCAAAAGTTTTGTGCGTAAAAACTTTTGCTAATCTTAATTAATAATCACAAAGTGTATCAAACAATTTATAAAAAAAAATGCAACTTACATGCAATCTCATCTCGTCTTCGACAATGTTGGACACCCCTTCTTTACACAAGTGGACCATTCCATCTGAGACCTCCCTCCCATACTGCCACATGATGTATTTGCTGCTGTGCGTTGAACCGACGATGTTTGACCATTTCATTCTGTTGCGATCTGATCCACCAATGTATTCATTCATTTATTCATTCATTCGTGCTTTCGTTCGTTCGTTCATTCGTTCGTTCGTTCGTTCATTCATTATCCATTCCTTTAATTCGTTCATTCACTCATACATCAATGATTAAATTAAATTTTATTCATTAATTGAATGAATTATTTTTTAAAATTTCAAAAGAAAAATGATAACGTGACCAGCTGCAAACGACCTTGAAAAAAGAACTCCGGATGGGCCTGATTGGACCAGAGACTGCTGAAGGTCATTTGATACTTGGCTGACTCGCACGAACAACATGACGGGGTGGGGTGGTGTTTGTTGGCCGGGTTCGTGTCTGCTGTGAGGTGTTGTTTTGGTGGTGTTATTGTTGTTTCGATATTTGTTGTCAGGATTGTTGTTGTCTCGATGTTGTTCTTTCTGTCGTTTTGTAGTTATACTTATTGTGGTTTTGTTGTTGTTGCTGTTTTGTTTTCTGTTAAGCTTCAAATTTTTTCGTGTCGCCCATATGTCAGTGGCTTTTGATTGAACTCACTTATACAGATACATACATACATAATTTTATTAAAAACTTTATATGGTCGTGAAACTTTATATAAGAATTAGCAGCAAGTTTTCACAGAAATATTTAAAAACTTTTTGACATCGCTTCTTCAGCGATTCTGCAAACTTTAAAACATTTAAAAATAAGAAAATCTATTAGCGTTGTATTCCTTGAATTATTCACTAGAACACGAAGGGGTAAATGTTCGAATTTAGTGAATACAAGTAGATATATGCGCCAAAGAGTTACATCTCGCAAATAAGTAACATCGCAGAGCTATAGAACAGATTTACATCGATTGCTCTTTAATTGAATCTGCCTGTGCAACTTAATTTGATTCCCTCCTAAAGATTGACCTACCTGGCGGCCAGCACTCTCGTTCATCCTCTACCCTGCAAACGTTCACACACTGACAAACAAACATGTTTACACGCGTTCACGCACATTTACACACAGACAAACAGGTAGCACAAACATATATACATATAAACTTACGCACAACACACGCAGGTAAGCAAGCAAACACGCATACAAACACCACATCATGGCTTGCTCAGAGCAGTTACACTTTGTCATTTAGTGTTCGTGTGAAATTCTTTCCATATAAACAACGAAATCTCACAAAAAGTTTCATTTATTTTGTTTGTTTGTTTGGTTTGGATACGTGTTAGTTTACATTTCATGGCGTGAAGCTGTTTATACCTACGCTAAATTACCTGCTGTCCATGCGTAAAATGTATATGCGCTAGCTGTTTCCATACTCTCATACATACCAAACACTCAAATTCAAATGTTTAATAACATACATTTCAAAATGCACACATTATGTGTAGTCTCTAATGTACATAAACACACACACATACACGCACAAACACACACAGACAAACACACACACATACACACACATACACCCACATAAACACATACACACACGTTTTCAAGTTAAAATATCCAAATGAACGGAGAGCAAGCAATTCACGTAAGTTAGCGCGGCTGAAAGGAACGTGTTAAGAGGAAGTGCTGTGAGTTATCTCCGTATAATGTTATCTATTGTTTGTCACTGATTCTCAATCTATGATTGTACGTTTGGTTGTTAGTGTTGTTGTTTGTGTGGTTGTATGTGTGGTTGTTTCTTTGGTGCATCTTGCATGTATGGCTGCGTGTATAGTTGAATGTGTGATTCTGTTTATGGATGAACTTGTTGTTCTATGTGCGAGTGCTTTTGTGGTTGAATAGTTGTTTGATTAGTTGATTAGTTGTAGTTAGTTGTTTGTGTAAATGGTTGCAAGGTTGTTTGAGCGATTGTAGGTTCAGATGTCAGTTGTTTGTGTAATGTGCCTTGGAGATTCTGATTTTAAATTTTATGCAGTCACGTCAAAACAACATTACACAATAGTTTTTTGATTTGTAAATCTTGGCATGATTTGTTACAAAAGTAAATTTATTTGAAAATGAAACAAATTCATTGAAAGGTCCATTCCATTGTCTGCGCCTCTTCGCGAACCTGTCATGAAATACTCCTAAATACTCAGAGATGAAAACTGTTAACATTCACCAGAAGAGTAAACCTGAAAAAATATGATTTCAAAAAAATGTTTTGGCCACTGTAGCTATTGACTGCTTTTTTTACTTTGTTGAACATATCGACATTGTAAGTACAAACATATTTCATATTTTGTAAACATTCTAACAAACCTACAAGTAGAACCGCATTGTTATCTTCAAAATTTCACGTTAACTCTTCATATATTAATTCGTAAAAGAAAACCCGCAAAACACACGCCACAAATACTCTACAACAAACTGGGCAAACATTACATTAACTCTGGCGACAGTGAAATGATTGTAATGGTTGCTAGAATAATTTGCATGGATGCAAAACAAACATACAGCACAACGTAACGCAACTGAAGACATACACAGTACAAGCACGTGCGTGCTTAGAGCAAGTTCATTTGCGGAATTACGTGAATAAACTTTTACGGGAACATGACGTAATGATTGATTAAACGACTTTTTGCGTGACGTCAGATTGAAGCAAGAAAAGATAATTTGGCTTTCTCTCTCGGGTTCGCTGTTTTATTGCGTATATTATAATAGAGGCATTTGCTAATGCCTGGACTAGCTTCATTTGTTTGTTTATATTTATGCGTTTCATCATTTGTTATCACCAATAACGATATGGTGATGACCAATTAGCATTAATGATGAAGCAGTTGTGGTGATGCAGTTATCTCAATGGTAATTATTCACTTGCATAAATTTCTTCTTCACATTCGTACAATTAAGAGAAAAACGAAAATTTTCAGTTAAGTGCCTTCTCAAATGCTATGCAGATTCGTTTTATAAAATAATTAAAACAATCAAAACATCTTCATAGCAACACAATCATCAGACAGTGGAGAAGTAGAAGATTGACAACATTACAAATGCAACGACGCAACAACAACCTCTGCAACGAAAACAACTATGACATTAACTAACGAAAGATCTTCGAAACCAACAAGAATGATTGACGAGCAGCAGCACACCCACTCAAAGAGCATCGTCAATATGCAAACCGTACCATGATGATTATTTTCTAAATCACGAAAAAAACTTGACAAACATCTTGTTTATACTAACAACAACAGAGCAACAACACAGCAACAACAAGACAACAACAAACCAGTAACAGTAGCAACAATGGCAGCAACAAAAATAACAGCAATGCAACAACAATAGCAACAGAACAATGACATCAACAACTATCTAAACAACAACAACAACAACAACAACAAAATAACAGCGACAAAACAATGACGTCAACAACTGACTAAATAACAACAACAACAAAACAACAAAAACGGCAACAACTAACCATCATCATCTTCACACATGACATAAGTCAGAGCCCCATCGTCTTTCAACCAGACATTCTCATTCTCTAGCACTGTAGCTCTGTATATATAGGGTTTGAAAATATTTGTATGTGGAGAAATGTTTGTATGTAAGGATGTTTGTATGTGAAAATGTTTGTATGTGAGGATGTTTGTGTATGAGAATGTTTGTGCGTGAAGTGAAGATGATTGTATGTGAGTGTGTTTGTATGAGAAGATGTTTGTATGTGAGTGTGTTTGTATGTGTGAAGTTATTTATATTTGAGTGTTTGTTTGTATGTGAAGAGTGTTTGTACGTGAGTACAATTTATATGCACGCACGTCATATTTCACGCCATGGTGTGTGACTTCGGATTAGCTGAATAATATGGATCAGGCAAGCCTGGTCTAGTTTATGACCGTCCGTTGTAATGTTAGGTGATAAAATAAATGATGTCTCGATGAAATGAGCTGATAACATCATCAATACACGCTACAACATCGTCAGAGAAGAGATAATTGATATAACATCGTGTAAACTAAAAGTTTTATCACACGAGTTTACGACATATTTTTCACCTGCCACATCGTGATCAGATGATGGTGATGAAGAAGTTGCTAGTGATGATGATGACGACGACGACGATGATGATGAAGACTACGATGAATGATGATGATGGAAAAGAAAACAATGATGACAATAAAAATTTCACGATGGAGATAAAACTTTTATTCACGAAATTAAAAAAATGAAACGCATACACACTAACACCCACGGAAACACAAATGTCTTTCAGCGTGTTTGTTCAACAAATGCTCTTCTCACAAACTAAACAAAAACATTAGTAAAGTGATTCGTTGTTATGAAGAATTTTTTGCAAAACATAATTTTTTTATTTAGCGTAAAAATTAATAGTTGCATTATAAGTTTTCATGTTTGATTGTATATAAAATTGTATGCATGCGTTGGTGGCGTATGTGTATTTACGAGTTGGTTTAAGTATCTTTATACACACACACACACACACACACACACACACACACACACACACACACACGCACAGACCGACGAACACAAATACACACCTAAAAATGAAAGAGTCATCAGACAGCATCCAAACAAAGCCGCATCATCGTCCAAAGGATATTAATATGAATAATCCTGTACCAATGATTGGGCACAATATCATGGACAAACGCAGAATCAACTTCGAAAATTGTAACAAAATAAAAAGCAAGACAATAAACCGGACTAAAAAAATCACTTGCCTGAAAAATAGGACACAAATTTTAAGAACAACTAAAAAAGATCTTTGGTGATGATAGTCACCAACTGTTTACAATTGATTATATTAATAATAATAACAACAACAATGACAACAACAACAATAATAATAATATTATTATTATTACTATTAAAAAACGATAATGATAAATTATTTCTTAGTGCAACAATCAGTGTAACAATTTCTTAGTGTAACAATGATATAGTGAAGAAATTTTATACGAGAATTAATAAGCTAGAACGCAAACTTATATCATGATACTCTAACAAATGAAACATAGATCCCATCACACTTTCCGACATATAAACAGACAGACAAATATGCAGACAGACGGACGGACGGACAGACACACGAGGGATAAAATTTGTTCATGAAAATTCATCTACGTAAAATACGTAAATTGTAGCCTATGATACGGATAAAAATTATACAGAACATCAAAGATGCGTATAAGCACGCATATATTTGCAAACTCAAACAAGCACACACAAGCACCGGAACCAGATACACACTCACACAGAGACATATAAACGCATCCAAACACACACACACAAACACACACAAAAGAAGGACATGTCGTCCAGACATGAGGCAGCCAATCATCGTGCACGGTGCATGTTGAACCA